CTGTTACCCAAAGTGACCAAAGCTCTTTCAGTAATTACAGGATCCTAGGTGGTCTCCAGCAGGTAAAGGAATTTTTGAAGCTGTTCAATATTTAGGTAAGCATCACATGAACCATCAGTTAAGTCTTCTGCGGACCGCCAGGGGCACAGCCCGAGCCTGCGGCCACCTTGTCGCTGGCCCTGGGGTCAGCCTGTAAATGCAGTAGCAGGCGCCAGCCAAGGACCAGGCCCGTAGCCACCCAGCCTATGCCGCGGGGCGCCGCCCATGCTCTGTGCACCAGACTTGACGCGGGATTTCCAACGCACGAGGGTCCTGCAGCCTCCAGAGCGCGACAGGGCTGCAGAGTGAGGAAATGGCGGGAAAAGAATTAGATGTTTTGAGAGTGACCAGCAGATGGTGTAATGGTTATGTCGCTGGACTCCCACATAGTCAGCTGCAGTTGGAGTCCTGTTCAGCAGCTTAAAACTTACTCTGGGAGCATGTGCGTGTGTGCTCAAAATCCCAAGAGGAGAAGGGATTACAGTGTGGCCATCCCCCCAAGCCCAGAGGGTGATTTTTATGCTTTTTGTCTCTCTGGTGAGTGCATGTACCCTATAGCAAAAATCTCTCTTAAAAAATTGTTTTAAAATCCCAAGGATTATCAATTTACTCTCATATCTAATGATGTCTCATACTCAGATCCATGTACTTATTTATGAGTAATATAAAAAGAACACATAGCTATTGTAGTCATAGAAAGAAGCCATGGCCCTAAGTTATTAAGAGCTAAATTCAAATGCAAAGTAAAAATGGGCATGAATCATTTCCTTCCTCATTTTTGCCATGTGTGTGTATGTGTGTGTGTGTGTGTGTGTGTGTGTGTGTGTAGGCATAGGTGCATTTGTATGCTTGTAAACGAAGTGTAGAAGTTATGGGTACAGAAAATGAGGTTGTACGTAGTGTATTAAATTTGGTGTCAATGAGGTAATTATGATAAATCTATGGTAATTTAATTAAAAACTACAAATTAAACCAAAACAGAAAAATGTAGAAACTTTCAAATTAAATAATTTAAGAACTGTCACATGCAATCAGAACATTTTCATGGTAACTATAATTAGTTTTTAATACTTTCTGATAGATGTGAGAATATGAAGCATCCAGGGCGTGGTACAATGACATTCTATGGGGAGGTGATATATCCTCATTAGGTAAACGTACATAATGTTAAATTAATGTCTTCTTGAAAAATGCTGTCAAATATGAAAAAGATATTAAAGCAGAACCCCGGACTGTATGTGCATGTTCATGGACAGCAGCAATGAATCTACAAAAAAAAAAAAAAAAGGAGTTATTTTCCCTGAATCAGAAAAATGGGATCTAATTAAAATATTTCAGAATAATGAAGATATAATGAGGACTGGTAAGTTATTCCTTTTCATGCTGTTCCTTAATTGAAGAAAATGATCCAGCCCTTGGTGAAGTGAAAGGCTTAAAGATGAATGGGAAATAAAATATTAACTGTGTTTAGATGTAAGGGATGTGACCAGGGAGTGTGTACTGCAGAGAGTCCCTAAAGAGGTCAGCCCATGTTTCTTGAATGGGAATACAACATTCATTGTCCTGTTGGATTCTCACTGGGTTCAGAGTTCCTTGCTAGACACAAAATCTCAAGGCTTAAAGGAGTTGCTGCTGAGTTAGAAAAATTGCTTTCATTTATGTTGCTGATATAAATACCTATGAATAGAATAAATATTATTGAGAAACTGATTTGGGCCAGCTGTTTAGTGTTTTACATGTATTTATTCTCACTGTAGCCCTGCTTTCACATAACGAAATTGATACCTGCAATGTGAACAGGCAAGATTTAAAGTTCATTATTCATAGGTTATTGATAAATAATACTTGTACTAATCATTGATTTTTTTATAATTGCTGGCTGTCTGATGAACCAAAATTAAACTAGAAAATGAAGGAGCTAGCCTCAATTAAATGGAACCTGGAGTGGGTTGGGGAGTCAGAGGACTTGTTCTCCAGCTCAGGATCAAGCCTGTGCCTGGCCTCCAGAAGGCTGAAAGGGTATTCCACTTTAAAACAGATGGGCCCGTAGATAAACTTCCCATCTGAAATCTTCATGCCTAAAAATATTTTATCTGGATAATACTTGCTGTTTCTATTTGGAAAACAATTTGAGAAAACATCAAACTTAATAGTGTATTTTCTAATTAGGTTTTGGTGCCACGTTATGACATGGGGAGACTTCCTCCCACAGTGACTGTGGTAAGGATTTGCTGCTGGACAGAATAAAGAAAGCCGCTGGAGCTCCAATCAGGACCCTTCATGCAGCACATGCTGGTCCACCACTGGGCAGCGACTGAGGATACTTGGTCTTTGTCCAGCAGTGAGTGAGTGCGCAGTCGTACCGGAGGCTTCAAACATTTGTTTGCTCCTATGTAGTCATTTGGCTTGTTTTTAATTATATCATTGCTCCATAGATAAGTAATATTTGACTGCTTTGCCCCAAATGGTTGTTTTAAGTTGAGAGTTATAAAATACAAACTTAACTATAACAGTTTTTGATAAAAAAGATCAATGATAATAAGTTTTAAGGTATGAATGTGATGTTATTAGTATACATAACTGATTCATTTTCTACTGAAGCACTGAATTTATTCTTTTGATACAAAGAGGTACAAAATTTATTTTCCTTTGAAAATTCATCAACAAACTCTGATAACACATTATAGAATATGAAATTATCAAAATTTCATATTCTAAAGTTTCTTTATTTTATTCATGGTAGAGAGTGTGTGCAATCACATGAGAGAGAGAGAGAGAAGCGTCCTAGACAGGACCTCATCATACTGTGATCTCCGTCCCCCAGACCTTCAACTAGTGAGGATTTCTTTCCTTCCTTCCTTCCTTCCTTCCTTCCTTCCTTCCTTCCTTCCTTCCTTCTTTTCTCTCTCTCTCTCTTTTCTTTTCTTTTTTATTCTTTTCTTTTTTTGAGGTTTTTGCTATAGGGCATGCCAGAGAGACAGAGAGACAGAAACTGAGAAATCACTACCCCCCACACATACATTGGCCACGCTGCAATTCCTTCTCCTTCATTCTCTCAGGATCTTGGGCACACATGCACACGTGCCCAGCATGAGTTTAAGCCACCGAGTCTGGGATTTGAACCGCAGTCGACTACATGAGAGTTCAGTGACATAGCCATTACGCTATCTACTGGTCCCAGGATTTTTTTTTTTAGGATTTTTTTTTTTTTTTTTTAACTATTAGAGTGTGGGCTCTACCAGAGAGACAGAAAGTGAGAAATCATCCTTTCTGGGAAATGGTCATGCTGCAATCTCTTCTCTTCCATTCTCCTCTTGGGATTCTGGGCATGCATACACATACCTGGCATGAGTTTCAAGCTGCTAGGTTTGGGACTTGAACTGTGGTTGACTACGTGGAAGTCTAGCACTTTACCACTATACCATCTGCTGGCTGCCAGCTAGTTAGGATCTTAAGCAGATGCTTGCATACCCTACATATTTCATGTTGGCACATGTACACATACCCTGCATGTTTCAGGTTGACCAAGGTGGGCATCTGAACACATGGCTGGTCACATGGTTTCCAGCACTGGAGTATGCTACTGACTTTTGCGTTGAGGTTGGACGAAATTTTATTTTTAAAGTTTGTTTATTTCAGGAGTGAGACAGAGAAATACACACACGCACACACACACACACACACACACACACACAAAGTTAGGTTCCTAACATCACAATCCATGCTTATCCTCAGCCATCCTATATCATAGGCAGATGCATGCTTGCCTGGTGTGTTCAGGAAGGCCTCAGGAATACAATCCCATAACCTTCCCCTGAGGGCTCAGCTGCATTACCTCTGTGTCACTGTCTGGTCCCCTTAAATTTCAGTTTGAAGTGAAGTGGTCATGTTTAATATTAGGCTCAAGGGAATGAAGATAAGCTTGATTTCCCTTACCTCTAACTATAGTCAATTTGAATAACTTTATTTGGCTTTTAGTAAATAAAAGCTTCATATTTTATAGATTGACCAAGATCGAGGTAAGGGTGTGTGTGTGTGTGCAAATAAATGTGTACTTTATTATAAAGAAATTCATTTATATTTTGATGTTCTCAATATTGGTTTATCATAAAAATGATGGAAGACTAAATTCTCCGTTTTTTAAAAGCCTCACATTTTATTTTTATTTACTTATTTTTCTTTTAAGATTATTTATTTAATTTTATTTATCATTATTATTATTATTTTAAAATTTGCTATAGGGCATGTACACTCACCAGAGAGTGAGAAGGAGAGAGAGGAAGTGAGAAAATAAGCCACTAGGTCGGGGACTCAAACTGCAATCAGCCACGTAGGAGTCCAGCAACTTAATCACTATGCCAGCTGTGGGCCCAAAGTCTCACACTTTTAAATAAAGTCAATATTAAAAATACTTGCTAAATCAAGAAAGAAAGTTGGATCTTAAACTTGAGGGAAAATGGAAAGTCACTTATGAAAATACAGTTCATAGATGTAGGCTTTTAGTGCCTGTTTTTGTAAACGTGTGTTGCTGTTCCAATTTCTTTTTTCTTACTCAGAATCAGCTAAAGAACTCTTAGGGGATGATACTGTTCATTATATCACTCTCGGCAGACATCACATTACAAAGAGGAAATTGTGCTAGAATGAGGGCTAAAATAATGTTTTAGCATAATACGACTACAATATTGTCATGCATCTAAATTCACTTTCCCTAACAAGTAAAATTATCCAGTAACTCAACTTATAGGTTGTATGTTCCTTTTCTGTGGGTTATTTCATTTTTGTGTGCTTTCCTCTTCTTCAATTTCTTTTCATACAGATGCGAATATGTTGCCTCCCATTCCTGTGAACGTTAGTAAGACTTGAAAGCTTTTGCTGCAGTCAGTTACTTCACCCTTTCAGCTGGCAGTTTAAAGGGAAGGAATTATGCAAAATTGCCCCAACTAACATGCAAAGTGAGCAAACCCAACACCTCCAATTTTGCTGTCAGTAACACAATTTGCCCTGCTGCAAAGATTTCAGATGGTTACTCAGAATTACAGGTGCAGAAAACATTCTTTTATTTGTGTAACTCGGGTAATTTTTCCATTTCACCTGGTCTAATTTAGAGTGGCAGTCCTCAAAGCATTTCTACATCCCTTCCTTCTGAGGTCCTCTTTTTACCAACTGTGTATCTAGATGACGCCAAATTTACCTCATGTACTTCAACCAGAAATAGTAGATTACAACAAACAAGATGCAAAAACCATTATGAAAATTCAGCTGTCTTCTCTTAAGCCATATACTAAATAGCTTTAAAAAAAGGTAATACTAGTCTCAGTATTTTTTTTGTTTGTTTTAGAAACTATACTCATTTTTCATGAAAATGTTTAATATGTGTGTTATATACAGCATGTATATACTATTTTTGTTTGACAATGATTTACAAGTAAGAAATTAGTATTCAGTTTTCTTCCTTAGCAAGAAATTTAAATGCCACAGTATTCATTTCTAATAAGGTAAATATTGATGAATACAGTCGATACAAATAAAAATTCTTGTGAGTTCTCAGATTTTAAGGGTGCAAAGGGGTCCTGATACCAAATATTTGAGATCCGATGTTTTAAAGCATGCCCTCTACCCAGTAAGGAGAAGGAAAACTCATTTTCCTCCATAAAATAAAAATCTGAAGAAATATAGTTCTGAGTTTATTGTCTCAAATATATATTTTGAGATAGTCTTCAGAATACTAACTGGTATGAAGATATGAAATCATCATTATTAAAATTAACAAATGAAATATTTATAATGAAGATATTTCTCAAATCTAGTTGTTTGAGTTAAATCTCATATAAGTTAAGCTAACAATAACATTTTCAAATACTTCCCTTGGTGTTATGTGAATTAAATAGTAAAATGTCATGAGCATTCAAAAGTATGGCTAAAAATTTATTTTGACATTTGCTTTCATTTCCATTTACCTTTATCCCCAATTTGCTGTTGCTATCTGTAATTTCTTCACTGCATTTGGGAATCCAAATTCTTCTTAGAACCAATTTATCTTTTATTTATTGTCAGCTAGTTTGGATCCATTCCTTTTAAGAACTGTAAATGTCACATAGAGACTTATGTTCAAATTTATTGTATGTAAAATACAAAATGTGGTAATAAATGGTGCAAAACAATGCTTATTAAATGAGTTAGCAAATGGTTTAAAATTTGTTTAGTATAATTACCAATAAATTTGGTAAACTTCTAATTGTTTTATTTTGGAAAAGTTGCATAAGCAATGGTAAGCCTTCTGTAACTAGATCTTTTTTAATTCTTTTCTGCTCTCCCTACTTAATAGAAATTTATCTTTTCAGATTTTTGAAAAATGGTTTCCCCAAAGTCAAGGGTTACAATTCCAAATTGTATGTGCATGTGTGTTCTGCTTGTTTCCCTCCTTTCTTAAGAAATAGGAAAACAGCCAAATATCTTTGTGAAGTATTTATTTCATGTGAGTTTAAGACACCAAAGAGATTGGTGGTTCAGTTAAGTCAAGGAGTTAGCAGATCCATTCTTTGTTTAAAATGTCAGTAAAACCAGCCAAATCTAAGACTTCCACACAATCACCCTCACTTTATAGTCATCTATGGGGGGGATTACTTCTACTTTAAGAAAAACAGTTTTTATTTTCTCCTTTCAGAACTTACTAACAAAAAAGTACTATTCATTTAAAAATTTAAACTTAAAAGCTTAAAATTTAAAGCCAATTCAGCAGTAGCTGTAGCCTACAAAGAAGTGGGAATAAAATGGTCAGGAGTGAAACCTCGCCATCATCAGCTGGAAGGGCTGGTAGAAGAGATTGGCAGAGAAGGCGTCATGGCACTCACACACTCACAGCTCCTGCCTGGCGCAGGAACATTCTGAAAACAGAATGCACCTGAAAACTGCCACATAGGTTTGAGCTAGAACTGTGTACTTGACAAAAACAAAAACAATAAAGCTGGCAGCTAGAAGGGGCTGAGTGGGGAGAGAACGAGAGCCATCAGAAAGCACAAGGTAAAGCCATACATATATAAAATCGGAACTTGAAGCAATTTCATATACAAAAGCTTAACAAATTTCCTGATTAAAATCCTGCTGTGATTATCCAATAGTCAAAGAAGACAATCAGGACAAACTCTTCAAACAGTAATCCTTAGTGAAGCAGGATCTAAAGAAGATGTCATTTGTAAGTATCCTATCTAGTTAATTGATACAAATTCATTATATGGTATTTCTATTATTTTGTACTAGTATTTCTCAACCTGTTTTAGATCAGTCCCTCTGGAGAAAAAAAATTAGTTAGACTTAAATTTCTCCCTAATGATGGAAATTGAATATTAAATAATATTTTGTTTTAATAAGATTACAAACCATTGTGATAAATAAGATTCCCCCCAAATAACCAATTTTCTTTC